AATAAAAAAAAAAAAGAAGAGAAAGAGCAATATCAGGAAGAGGAATTTGGACGAAAAAGAAAAGGAGATAGAAGAGAAGGTTTTCGAAAATTAGGGTTCTACAAAAAGGGGCGATTTTTGGGGAAATTGAGGAAGGAGAACAGGGGTTCTGGGAAAATTTCAAAGGGAGAAAGCGAAATCTACAATGATTAACATGTGAAAGCCGACACCCAACATACAAATCCAAAATATTCAGTCAGCACACTTCAAACACCCAATTCAGAAAATTCAAAATGCAAAATCCTAGACACAGGAAGTGCAAAATCAAAGGAGGAACGACTTACTCATGATCGCAGATGGAAGATCTGGAAGAGCTTGAAGATTGCAGGAGAGAGCGCCAAAATGAATTAGGGTTCTTGCAAAAGGGGATGTTTGAATACAGGGAAGTTCGAAATCGCAAAGGTGGAAAAAGTTAAAAAAATACGCTAAGTATATAATTTATACTTTGGAGATGGAAGGGTGGAAAGATAAGGGCCATCGGATTAAAGTTAGATCCAACTGTGGGGAGTATTAATTTGCACGAAGCTCAAAACGGACACGTTAGGCGAGGAGGCGCAATAATTAAAGCGCCTGACACATATGACAGACGTGACGCGTGGCAGAAAACGGGCGCGACAGAAAGGACTTAAAGCAGATAACTTTATTTCTTGTGATTAATGGGAAATTATTCGAAAAAATGAGCGGGAAGCCTACCAGCTGGTCGATATCTAACGACGAGCCATCCAGAAGGACGATAAATACTAATTCACTCTTAGATCGAGTCATTTAGACTCGACCAGAGTGGGGGGGGGACTAGATGATATGAGATATTATACCCACAAGGCTGAACCGGTTTATTGACCGGTCGAGGAGGTCGTATGATGAGGGAGTCAAAGAAATCGAGCAGTTAGCTAGTCGACCAAGCAAAGCCGTCGATCAAACTATCCTTCGACCAAATACACGATCAAGCAACCTATTCGACCTCAACAGGTCGATTACTTCGAGGACTTAACACCACGCTGTTCGTCCTAGTCATAGGCGCGTGAAGGAGCCTCTGACAGAATTCCAGAAGAATATTTACCCCATGTGCAGGGGGACACGTGTCGAGAAGGCAGTGGTGGATAGCGATAACCACCTCTGACAGCCTACCCCATGTGCAGGAGGACACGCGTCCAAAGAGGATTGGTGCAGGCGATAGTGGCGACGGCTACCTCTGACACACGCGTTTGGTGTGTACGGACGGGCAGTTAGGGCAGACAACTCATCAAATCTGGGCAGCCCTAGGTCAGGTATCTCACCCCTATATAAAGGGGGTGAGCCTTTCTTCTTCAACACGATCATTCTACTACTTACTCTTGAGAATTGATTGAACATACATTGACTTAAGCTTCGGAGGCTCTTCACCGGAAAACCCCTCCGGTGTGAGAGTTCTTTGTAGGTGCACAACGTTCAACCGGTGAGAAGGAAGGCGATTATTCAAGTTTCAGCCGGTCGAGAAGTTTCGTGTTACCACAATATCATTAAGACTTTTAAAGTATAAAAAATTTACATATAAATATGTTATTGTGTATATTTGTGTAATTACTATATTAGCCTTATGTTCTCTTTAGGTAACCGTAGCCCTAATTTTGTATATATATATATATTATATATATATATATATATATTCATGGTTAATAGAATATTGAATCATCCGATTGAGATGATCTTTCCCACATTCTTTGTACGTCTCTTTCGTATCATGGTACCAAAGCCTAATTTTCTTCTTTTTTGATCGCAAATTACAAATCTAATCGCCTCCACCATGTGATTGTTGGTAACACAAAACTCCTCGACCG